TTTTTTTTTTTTTTTTTTTGTATCTCCTCGAAAGCCTTATCCCTTATCTAAAGACTATTAAGTTACTTTTTCATTTTTGCGAATTTATAAATATTCATTGAGGAGTTACATTGCACAATATGACCGTTATAATTGGTAATTGTACCCCGGATCTCATACAAGATAACACAAATACAAGATACCACAACCAATAACCTTGAAACATACCCGGTACAAATCAGGAGAAGTGAATATAAATCAAGGGATAGTCGTCAATCAGGTAGTGCCCAGTTAATAACCGGGTAACCAGTTGTTAAAAATGGAATTGGCTTGCTATTGAATCTTAAAGGTTGCAGTGCCTCAATAATGGATTACAATTTTGTAGGTTAACCTGTCATAATAGTGACGCAAAGTTAGTGTTAGTTTCCAATCTTGAAGATAACTGGATAATGTGGAGTAAATGCTATAACGTCTTTTACGCCGTATATTGTTATTAAGGTTAGATTCTAATATAAATAATAATTGGGAATTAATAAACGAAAGAGGAATAACTCTGCAAAACACTGAAAACACTGCTAAATTGAAATTTATTGAGCGGCGTTGCCAAAGGGATATCCTTAATAACATGGAGTGTCAAGTTTAAGCATTTTTTTATAAAATTGGATAAAAAAGATTTTTTTTTTTTTTTGACTTTTAGATAACAAGCTGAAACATTCATTGTATTCATGCTGTACGTAAATTAGTACAACGATATTCCTTTTTTTTTTTATGTAAAAAACCGCAAACTGAATAATTCATAATAGCAAACAATTTAGATGATTATGATAACGTAACAAGTATAAATAAACAAGCGTGATAAAACCACGTTTTTTGACTTTTTTTTTCCTGCTCCTGACATCAAATTTTTTTTTTGAAGTATGTATTAATGAAGTTAGCTTTTAGTTACGTTCACGAGGGTATTTATACACAAGAAGCTTTATTAGTAAATACGAACTAATGTCATGTCTTATCATGTCAAAGGCGTACAGTAGATGAGAAAAAAAGCAATTTTTTTTTCTCTCGTGCCGAGGTAGATTAATTGCTTTCGGATTTTTACTACACCATTAATTTATTAATTAATGCAAGCAATTAATGCTAGAATAAAACTATATAAAAAACTAAACTCTATATATTATCAAATGCAATTAGAATATACATACATGTTTTATCGATCTATAGATTGGACCCATTAAGAAAATCTTTATCTGGGTATTATTAAATTTTTTAAGTTATCTAGATAAGTTATTCTATATTTTGGATAATTATATAGTAACAATTTCTACTCAGATTCAATCTCTATTTAGATTAAGATTAAGGTTAGATATAAAAGTTTAAATCTTTGTTAGAGTTAGGTTTTTAGGATCCTAAATATTTTTACTTAATATCTTTAACATATAGGGGCCTTTATAGCAAAAGAGAGCAGTAGGTCAAAAATTTTGATTTTGTAATTTTATAAAAATCATATGTTTATTATTTTAATTTATTTTTTAAAAAAAAAATTTTTTGCTACTGCCTCTTTTTGCTATAGTGGTTCCTATATATTAGCTAGTAAGTTTTTGAGATATAGTCTATCCTTCCAAAACTAATTCTATCAAAACTAATAATCTGTTATATCTGATAAAAAATTATTCTACTATATCTGTTCCATAATTCAAACCTAATAACTTGTCATTTCTAATAATCGATACTTAAATAATCAGATACTTATAAGATATTACAGTAGGTTTGTTAAATAATGTAAATCAATTTGATTGGCTTAAATTAAGCTTTATATAGCCAAGTAGATATATATATAATAAATTTAATCTAGCTAATTATATTTATTTATAATCACATGACTAGTAAGCCATTAGTATCTTAAATCTGATAACCTCTTAAAACTAATACAAAAGCTATTTATCATAATTATCAGATTTGAAAGAATATATTGTAATATAGTAAAATTTTATTAGTATTTTTATATTTATTAATTAAATATTATTAGTATATTTTAAATTTTTATTAGTCAAGTTTTATTAATCAAATTTTATTAGTTATTTTTCTTATATTATTATTATACACTCTCTTAAATTTTATTATATATTTTATATATATATTTTTTTTAAAAAAAAAAGAGCAAAGTCGTCACTATGTGGCCAAGACTCTAGATCTAACTAGTTTATTATAAACTATTTATATATACAGATAACTAATCTACAACCTGGCTCACTAGTTATCACAACTCCTCAACAACAAATTTGCTAAATCCTAACAGAAAATCTACCTCTTTGTCTTAACAAAGAACTAACAGTTCTTAGCCAATAGACCCAATATGAACTCTCTATATCACTGACCAGTATGTATTATCAAAGTCTAATCCTAGTCTATACTAATATATGATCTAAGACTAACAGAAAAAAAAAAGAATAATATACTATGATCTTTCAGTCATAGTAAACTAGTATTTCTAATAAAAATTTTGTCAAAGTATTAACAAAAGTAAGAAAAAAAGAAAAAACTAAAGTTTTGTGAGATACTAGCTATAAAGAATGCTTTTCTAGTTGTTTTGTCTTGTTCTTCTTTCCTTTACTATTTAAAGATTTTTTGTTTAATTGCTACTAGAATAACCTTTTTAGCTTGAATGCTGAACGTAAAGAGAAGTCCACTGAAAAATAAGTTTGACCCAAGCTACAAACTACTTTTCTACCACTTGCTTCTTGATATATTATGGTAGAGGCTTCATCAATAGCAACTCAAAGAAAAAATTTAAATAATTTTAGACATCGGGTTTCGAGTTTTTCAACTTGAGTTGGGTAGAAATGGTTGGTCCAAGTAATTATCGGGAAGAGTTGTATATATTTTATATATTTATTAATTTATTTATATAGTTTATAATATATTTTATTTATTTTAATTGTTTAAATGATAGTTTATTATTAACTTTATTAGAATAGTTTTTATAAAATTATATTTAAAGTAATAGTTATTTAATTATTTAAATTTTTAGTTCATTTAATATAAACAAAACCTAAACCAAGATATATAAACACAAGTAGTACTCTAGAACAATTCAGAATAATATAATAACAATATTAATTATAAACAAAGTTAAACAAATTTAATTTGGCAAAAATATCTTTACTATATTAAAAAGTATCTATATTATAGTAAAAAATGTTTATACTATTCCTTAAACTGTAATCCAAACAAATTTATCTAGAAAATTACAGTATATTTAGTATTTTTTAAATAAAATAAGGGCAGTATCATTTATCACCTGATTTTTTTTTATCAGAGGCTTACCCCCTTTCCCTCCTCTTACTATATATTTTGATCAGGTCTTTATATATAATTTTAAATTTTTTACCCCCTTCTCCCCTAAAAAATCACCTAATTTTTGTCATATCTCTAATAATTTATTAATAATATGAGATATATATTTATTATAGAATATATTTTTAAAAACATATTTTATAAACTTTATTATAGAAATTTTTTAAAATTATTAGTAAACTTTTGAGTAATAAAACTTTAAGTTTTAGTTTAAAAATTTTTATTATTAAAATTTTTTTAAGATTTTTAAGATTTTATATGTTCCCAAAGCTAAAAAAAATTTTTGCTCTTAATACAAGTACAAATATTTATAAATAAGTTACAAAACTTATAATAATAAAAAAT